TATGCAATCATTTTCGTATTTGCTTATATTTTTATATATGTTTATATACAGTATATTGAATATATATACAATTTTAATAATTTTGGACTGATAACTATTCAACTTTTCTTGGTCTCAGATACAGGCTAATTGTTTGTATTTAAATTCCTGTGGTTGTTAGTGTCAGGTTAATTTTATTTATATACCAGAATGTTGTAGAGCAAATAAAATATGGAATTGTATATTTTTACAAATATGTTGTCATAACTTTAGTAATGCTTCAAATGAAGTGGTTAAATGGTACATTCAGGCATTAGTGTATATGATGCTGTGGAGCTTTACAAATGTGGAAAATAAGAAGCTGTTTAGTTGAATCCTGTTCGGTAATTTTCAAATATACGCATTAAAAAGTCTTTATAAATGGATATAAGATTCAAACCAGCACCCTCAGGATGATAAGATTTTATTGGACGATTCATCGGGTTTTAACTCTATACTCATGTTGCTAACGAGTTTCCTATGAGCGCCGATGTGTATCGGCTCAACTTGAACTTTTGAAAAGGTGGGTTAAGATTTCTCCAAATTCAGAAGAGATTAGTTAAAATAACATATAGCATGTGTCCTATGACAAAAATGCTTTTCCTGTATATCTAAATGGAAATAGTTCGGTTTCAAATACACACATGATTGACTCGGCTTTGTTATGAATCATAGAAACAATGTAGCGGCCTTCGCGTTACAAGAAACAAGAAATATGTTGACATGCAGTGCACCGGGTAGTCACCTGCCTCTTGCGATCACTCATTTTTCAGTGTACAAACCTTCTGCTTTTAGTTTGGTAAAGTCTCCAATACCAAGCAAAAGTTATTAGAAAGTTTGTGAATCCACATGTAACATAGAATCACATGCAAAAAGACTGCAAGATAGAAAACATCTTAATATTGAAATTAAAGGTTAGTTTAAGTTAAACATTCTTCAACAGATTTGATCCTTAAATCGAGAAAAAGAATTACAATTAGGGACAGATGAGGGGTGAAAAGTTTGTGTCCCAAGTTGAAATTAAATAATTTACAATTAGAATTTATACCCTGAACTTTAAAGAGAATTGGGTTACGTTTCTTAAATTATGTGCTTTTGCTAAACATAAAGTATTTTTAGTTTAGGAAGCATCTCGGGGGCACTGCTGAGAGTTGGTAAGCCATTAAGAGGTAACCTGTAGTCCGTCACACGTAATACATTTTAATCCATGTCGTACGATTGGATGTTCTCCGACAGCGTTTCTACAGTAATCTGAAAACCCGGGAAAAGTTATGGTATTTGAAAATGATTTCCAGGCATGGAAAAGCCTTGGATACAACTTTTATTGCAGAAAGTTATGGAACTTCCGAAAAATTAGCATTGCTAAACATGCCCAGCTTAAGGATTACAGTTGGGTTTTTTTTATGGATTAATTAATATTAGTAAATATTTTCATTAGTTAATTTGGATTAGAATGTTATTAAATAATATTAATATATAAAAAATTTGTAAAAATCTGGTAAAAAATACAAGAATTATATTATGTTATTTTAAAAAGTTGTGGAAAATTCCACAGCAGGTTTTTCTTTCATATACGTGGTCGATACTAACATGTTTGGTACGCCACTTTTCGCGAATGTGTTTACACAGCTTTGGTTGGTTGGAGACAATTACTACATTCAGGAATAAAGCGTTAAAGTCGCCCGAATCCATATGCTACAGTATTAACATTAGACAAATCAGTTTGGATATATGCTTTTCAATATCTAGCAATAAAACTGCTTGAGTTACATTGTACATGTGGCTTGTACATCAAATCAAATAAAGAAGACAAATTAAATAAAAGAATTTCGAGGATTGCCTATGTGGTGTCAAGGACTCAACGCGGCAATGGCTTCAAAGTTAAGGTTTACTTCGGGGTCGCATTCAATCAATCAAAGGAATGTGTCCCCCACTTAAAAAGCGCCTGCACTTTCAAAACCTGACGCACTCGTGAGTAACACGATCGCAGACCAATTATCAATTACCGCATAAATCTTAAATGTCATTTGTAAATTTTATTGGGATACAAAGGCGGCTCCTACAGGGAAGTTTGTGGGCAAAAAGTCGGGAAAAATAATAATTTGATCATTCGCAACGGCACATCAGCGATTGTTTTTAATTAAAAGTTCAATACCATTATTTTTTTTGGATTGCATAAACAATACAAATGTACATAGAATTCAGCAAATAAACAGTAATAATGATTGTCATATTTTGTTAATTTTCTCTGCGAACGTTTGACCTATCGGTCAAGGGAAAATATCTGATCTCCCAAGCGAATGCAACAGAAATTGTTATGGCTGCTTGTATCCCAGCATGCACCATCGGAACGCAGTGTGTGGTACTCTTTGTAAGATTTTGTTCTCTTTCCTGTTGTTTCCCTAAAGATACAATATAATAATTTTTTTTTTTTACATTACAATTGATTCTTGTGGGTTGGATTTCTCATGATAAAAAAACACTTCCACTTTATGTACAATTATTTTTGTGGGTTCAAATTTATATACCGGTATACCTGTAAGATGATATGTTTTTCTATAGCTATAGTTTACATTGTGTCAAGCCACTTAATTAAATCAATCACATTTTTCTTAATTATTTAAATATTTTGATATACTTTTACTGGTCTTTCCAAATGTTTCATCAATTGAAAAAATAAACTAAAAATAAATAAAAATTTATATAAATATGCTATAACTTTACCTAAATCTTATAGAATGATAAATATAAGTGGTATTTATAATAATAAAAAAAAAAAAACTGTACAATTCAAATGAATTGTTCACTCGGATTCTTATTCAATACATATATTTTGTGTCTGCTTTTTTGTTACTGCTTCCAAATGGTTTTCTTCTTCGTATGATACCTTTTAATGTGTTTTATTTTAATGTGATATAAATAGAAATAATTATTCAATTGTATTAAATGTGAATTAAAAATTTACTATTTACTGATGTCTTTTGGCCTTGTGTAGTAATTGATGAAAAGTTCAATAGTAATTTCCTGTAGAATAATTTTATTCTTGATAAACCTAAGCTATTGTTTATTTAATGTATTATAATTGATAATTATGGTTTATTTTCTTTATTTGTATGTCAATAGCAGAAATTACATATATTAAATCAATTAGATTAATTAGATTAACACATCAAATAAATGAATGTAGCAGTTTAAATCTAAATGCTATTGATCTCATAAAACTATATAATATATATATATATATATATATATATATATAAATATATATATATACACTTTATATGTATATATATTTATGCGTGTGTATTATATGTAATAAACTATAAATTATTTACATATTCTTAAGGTCTTTTTGTAAAGTTCAAGATTTTATGTAAATTTATAAATATTATATAAGTGTTAATTTTTGTTTTAACTTTCAGGCGGCCAGAGACTTCCTTCCTGTGGTTCACTTCCCCATGGAAGACACTGAAATTCATCATCTGGCACAACTACAAATGGTACATACTTGGATTCTTTCTCATTCTCCTCCTCATCCTCTTCATTGGCCTCATCCTCTACAGCATCCCAGGAGCCTCTGTCAACAAAGTGCTTGGCGTCGGCACATAAAAATGAAACACAAGAAAGAATATGGAAATCATGCAAGAAAAAAATTTAAGAACCTCGCATTGATATCTCTTAATATGCATTTTTATAATGATAATGATGAGAAAGTACTTGGCAAAAAATTAATTCAAAAGTACACAGAATAGATTACTTTTTAGATTAGGAACTTTAGCAGGCCTTGACATAGCATTTATTTACAATTCAAAGCCTTATTGATAAGATAACATATATTGGTATATATTTTCATACGCTAGGATCTTTACCTGCTAAATGTGTACGTTGATGAAAAATAAAAATTTAAAATGTGAAATATATAGAAAATGAATGTATTGGACTCACTGTAGTTTTCCGCCAAATTATATCTGTTGAAATGGGTCTTCCTATTCCTTTCAATTCTGGGTCCAAATCTCTTTGTCTTCCACAATTACAAATGAGGATATTTTTTCTTTAATATAAAGTCGGAAGAAGTCCATTCCATGAAATTTGATTGAATATTTCTTAAACAATATAGTCATTTTAAGTTAATTTGATTATATTTAGGTGTTTTTGTAATTTTGTGGTTGGACAGTACACCATAAAGCATATGTGATGAATTTTCTATTGTTGAAATAAGGAATAATAAGTGAGTGTGAGTAATAGTTTTTCTGTACTACAGTTATGTTATCACAAATAAATGTCTTTTACTTCATTACAGTTTTGATGTGTGTCATTATTAGGTGAATGTCAGTGGGGGTGGGGCAGAAATGGTGGCCTATGGGTCAAATAAACACTGTCGTAAAAAAAAAATACTGTATAATAGAATGATAAATTTTCATTTTCCTAAATACTTACTTATTTCAAAGTCGGATTTGCTGGTTTCTCAGGAATTTTTGGCCCCTGTAAATTGGCCTTCCTCAGCATAAATTAATAACTCCTTCACCACAACCAGATTTTGTCGCCTCTCCTGTTCAAGGAAATTCCACGCAGAGAACGCCAAATTCTTTTAAATTCATGAAAAATGCTTAAGAACTTGTGAGATCTGAAACATCTGTAGACCTATTTTTTAATAAATTTTAACATAGATTTCAACCAAACAAGATATGTATTGTATTGAATCAGGTGAATTTTGTTTCATAGAATCGATATTAAACAATAATTATGTTAATATGCTGATATTGAGTTGGGGATGCTGATATTTTTTCAATTAAATTTCTTTACTTTATAGCAAGTCATTAGTAGTTTTTGTTATTTTTCCCACGATGGTAATTAAATAATCTAGTTGCTTGAATGGGGGAAAAAATGGTTGATGAAATAGACATGGGATTTGATATTATTTGTTTGGATCATGATACCATATCAATTCAATATTTTTTCTTTATTGGAACATCAGGAATTCCTAATGATTTTTAATAAACAACAACGAAATGTTAAATCAATATGGCTTCACTCAGTCTGGTTGGAGTTATTTAATATCAGAATATATTCAGTGGATTGGTTTTTTGGTTTTTTTTTGTTTTTGTTTTTGTTTTTTTTTTTGCTTTGCCTCTTTTAATTTAAAAAAAATATACGATATAATAGCTCAATTTAGTACTCAATAACAAAATGCGTATATTTTCCAAGGACGATGTATTTTAAAAGCAATATAATAACGATGATGGTGGTGATGTACTATCAGTCAAAATACACGAAAATACCTATAAAAAAAAATTTAAAAAAAATTAGTAGCTCGTTTAAAAGAATCAAATAAATATAACCATTCAAGGAACAGATCGAAAAAAGAAATGTTTTCACCAATTTACAGGCATTTTACTACAAATTCCTTAAGTTGACTTGCAATCGATTTTTGTATTAAAATGTCTGTAAATCGGTGAAAACATTTTTTTATCTGTTTCTCATTAGAAGCTTATACGGTAATTCAATTGATCCTTTAAATGAGCTTTTCAATATTTTATTTGAATTTTTAAGGTTATTTTCCTGTTTTTTGACTGATAGTACATCATTAGCAGTGGTGATAATGATTATCATGTTATAAATAATTGTAACATAATAAAAACATTGACGGATAAAATTGGATTCGTCGGCCGACACAGTGTGTGCCCTGCTTTAAGGATACTCCTGACAACATTATAAACCACTTGAGAGAAACATAATGATCGTCTCCATTGTAGGGGAGGGGAGTTGCTCTCTATGTTAACAACATTGTAGTTTCTCTCAGTTTAAGTCTATCACATTTGAGCTGTCTCTTATACACATCTAGATGTGTATAAGAGACAGGTATTGTATTGAATCAGGTGAATTTTGTTTCATAGAATCGATATTAAACAATAATTATGTTAATATGCTGATATTGAGTTGGGGATGCTGATATTTTTTCAATTAAATTTCTTTACTTTATAGCAAGTCATTAGTAGTTTTTGTTATTTTTCCCACGATGGTAATTAAATAATCTAGTTGCTTGAATGGGGGAAAAAATGGTTGATGAAATAGACATGGGATTTGATATTATTTGTTTGGATCATGATACCATATCAATTCAATATTTTTTCTTTATTGGAACATCAGGAATTCCTAATGATTTTTAATAAACAACAACGAAATGTTAAATCAATATGGCTTCACTCAGTCTGGTTGGAGTTATTTAATATCAGAATATATTCAGTGGATTAGTTTTTTTGTTTGTTTTTGTTTTTGTTTTTTTGCTTTGCCTATTTTAATTTTAAAAAAATATACGATATAATAGCTCAATTTAGTACTCAATAACAAAATGCGTATATTTTCCAAGGACGATGTATTTTAAAAGCAATATAATAACGATGATGGTGGTGATGTACTATCAGTCAAAATACACGAAAATACCTATAAAAAAAAATTTAAAAAAAATTAGTAGCTCGTTTAAAAGAATCAAATAAATATAACCATTCAAGGAACAGATCGAAAAAAGAAATGTTTTCACCAATTTACAGGCATTTTACTACAAATTCCTTAAGTTGACTTGCAATCGATTTTTGTATTAAAATGTCTGTAAATCGGTGAAAACATTTTTTTATCTGTTTCTCATTAGAAGCTTATACGGTAATTCAATTGATCCTTTAAATGAGCTTTTCAATATTTTATTTGAATTTTTAAGGTTATTTTCCTGTTTTGTGACTGATAGTACATCATTAGCAGTGGTGATAATGATTATCATGTTATAAATAATTGTAACATAATAAAAACATTGACGGATAAAAAAATAGGTGTGGTTTGAATAGCTAAACTTAGATCTACAGTCCTCAATGAGAAACTACAGTCGTGGGACAAATAGTATTTAAATTTAACTATTTTCATAATTGTAGAGTTAACAAATTTGATAATATAATAATATATGTTTTTGCCACTGTAGTCTTTTATTTTTAAGAGAGAAAAAAAAAAGTTCTAAATGTTAGAAAATATTTCGTAATACAATATAGGCCAGCTGAACAAGAATCATTTTTTGGATGCTTATTTTTATCTGTATAATATTACATCTGATCTTATATGTAATTGGTGCCCCATCGTTTAAAAAAAAAATTGTATTAGCCCTGTCAAGAGTGTGTTGTATAATATCCGAGTACCTGTATATCATAAAAACGTGTATGCCTAGATTTTATTTAATATTGGTAACTAGAGTATTACGTTATGACGTAGCGTGATTTTATAGTTGCGAGTATAACATCGTACGATGTGAGGGCGTCTTCGTGCTTAACCATGTCGCTATTCCCCTACACAACAGGTTTTGTTTCAGGATGGACTGATATCAAAATCAGATCTATCATCAACTCTACAAGTGCGAATTATTCAACTTCCGAAGCAGGCCTGCATTCGCATAAATACTCGCGTTGTTCTGTTTTTACATTTCATTATTTATTGGGTCAGCACAGAATTGTGTTTGTAGAATTAGAACACGGGATTAGAAAGGTGACCGAGGCCAATTACTCAAATGAATCAATATAGGATACAAGTTGAATCGATTCGTTCCCACATCCGAAAACCTAAACAAATCGGAAGTCTCTTGAGAATGATATTTTAAGTATGTTTGTCCGCACAATCATTAGCACATGTTGTGTTACCTAGATACAGGTACATGACAAATCATCCCCCAGCAAACATAATGAAAATATACCAAATAATACAATTTTAGATTCTGGGAGTAGTCTCTCTGGCTAGGGGGTCATTGGCTTTTGTATTTTTTACGACAAACCTAATTTTTTACTGTCAAAATAATGATGTTAAGTTATGTTTTTTGTTTAATTTAATCAGATGTTCTGAGTATGCCTACCTCCAGTTTTCAACCAATCATGTAGGCCTAATTTTTATGAGACCACGCGGCACGTCTCTCTACAATTAATCCTAAACTCTGCTGCTTAATTCTTTGCAACTTCTTTTTGTGTAAATTTATAATGATGACGATTTCTTTCTGTTTCATTTTTTTTTAAACACGATATAGTTGTTAAAATAGAACTAGTTTAGTCCTAATAATTCATTCATTAGAAACCCTTGTTTGTATATTTTTGTAGCAAAGTTATATGATACTGTGTTTAGTTATCAATATTGTGAGTGAAATAAAATTTGATTTATTATTAAATGTATTTTTATACTGCCAAAGGAATTACGCTATATAACATTACAACCCCTCAAAAGACTGTCTTCCGCTAGGCGAATTTATTCGCGCAAATCGAAGGCGTTGGTTCGGTTCCTGAGCTCTGATTAGTTAAGTTGCGCACTTTTTTCGCTTCGCAAAAAGTAGAAAAAAGTTCGAAACCGATTTCGCTGAAGGGAAAACTCCGATAGAAATGTGAATGCGCTTGCGCCTGAACCGAACGCTTTCGACTCGCGCGAATACATGCACAAGTGGAAAACATGCTTCAATTCTATCGGCAAAACGATACATTTGACATGAACGAACCTAATGATCTTCTTGTTATAACCCTACAATTTGAAGAAATTAACTTTGATATCAAGTGGCAAAGGTCCGGAATATGTTGGCCTACACTTGTCTTAATTACCGGAAAGATTCAAGCAAAGTCCATGAACCTTTTGGCAGACGATATATGAAACAGAAGTTGATCTAATTATCTTGCCATGACTATTGTATGGTTTATGATTGATGTCCTTAAACCGTTTTCGGTTTGATACCCTGCCTGTTTTTGATAGTCCGTTAGGATACCAAGATGTGTAATATAAGGATCTGTTTTTGTAGTATCTCGATCCACGTATGACTAATTCTATTTATCGAGTTCAATATTATTTTACCTAGGCCTAGGCCTATTTGTAAAATAACAATATTAATATTATACACTTTTTTTTTTAATAAGAACACATTTTACAAGAACACCGAGGCTGAAATTTTTCGAAAAAATAAGGACAAATTGAAGCTGGGTTAAAATTTAAAATGCAATATTTATTTTATAGAAAATAGAAAACCAACAAAAAATTCTTTTGGTCTTACCTTTACCTTATGTGAAGTAGGTGTCACGTGACTATGTACACCCTCCATAATACAGTACAATTATGCTGCTGTAAAATAATAATTTTCTATCTTTGGAAAGTGTATAAAATAAGAATAATATAACAACAATTTAAACCTAAAATTTGCAAAAAAATAAAAACACTGAGCCTTGGCAATGTGTTACTGATTCTTATAAAAAAAAATGTATCCCCCCCCCCCAGGCCTAAGACTATATAGATGTACTGTAATGAGGTCAGATACTAATAATTGTTATTAAATTGTAATGTAACAAATAGGCATAGGCCTACTTGTTTAGCGTCATCACCCCCACCTAAATTTCGAGGCGGGATTTTTTTTTTCTAAAAAATAAATATTGTTCAAGAAATGCTAATTAAAATCAATATATTTTAAGTGAATTCAAACAGTGATTTCGCCAATCAGGTGTAAAATGTATTGTAAGCATATTGAAAATGATATGCCTATGTATAAAGGATAGGCCTATGAGTCAATTCGCTAATTTCTTTTAATTTCTTATGTATTCTATTCCGTAGTATAAAATACTCAAAATAGACGATGAGCGATGTGTATTATATGGAGTGCTACCGTACCAGTACTGTATAGCAGTGTAATATCAACTCCCATTATTGGCCCGTAACCAATACAGCGTCAGTAGGCCACCCCTTGTCTTACACTATTTTTTAGTTATAAAATGGATAATTTATTTTTTTAGGCGTGTTTTTGATAATAATGATAATATTAACGATTGAAAGATGTTCGATTGATATTAAATCCAACGGGTTGTAATGAACTTATAGAGCACTAAATATAACTTTACATAATTCGGCCTCCTTGTAATACCGGTATTTTTTCCGTAGTAACCGAATTAATAATTACAACTTTATCCTTCAATTCTTTTAGTGTAAACATTTTTTAACAGTAGGCCTGCTTAAACAGTTTTTTTTTTTCTGAACGTTATATTAGCTCATGCACCTTAAACGTATTGGCGCCAATTACACACGGTGTTCTTGAAGTGGAATCAGACTACCCATGACCTAACTTGATGATAAAATTTAATACAAAATGAATCTTCGAAAAATTGCAAAAGCGGAAGCTTTAGTCGATGACAAATTGATTAATTTGTGAGGTATTGGTTTCTCAGAAAATGGCGCAAATAAGCTCCCCGCTGCACGAACGTCTACCGATCTTTTGGCTTCCCCCTGACAGGACCAATCACAACTTTGGTTGCTCCATTGTCATCAAACGTAACATTAATCGGCTAATTACGTTTCACAAGTAAACAAGGGGATTGTAGGTCGTTCAACCAATTACCAGCATCTGGCCGTTCAACTTATAGGCCCACATACATTTTAGCAACCTTTAAACAAATTCTATCTAAATTTCTGAAGTTGTCCTTTAAAAAATATATAAATATATAGGTGGTGGGGGAGGGGGGCTTGCAATATCGAGTAAAGGCCCATTTGTAAATTCCTTGGTATATTGTTATTTATTAACGTTTTTTATTTTTATTTTACATTACAACAATTTCGCACCCATTTATAAAACATGGATGGGAAATGTTTAATAGGCCTATAGGCTAAACAAATTTATAAAACGTTTGAGAACAACAATTTCGCTACGTCTTGAATTTAACATGGGACATGTGAACTGCCATTTCAACGAAATATTTATTATCATCCCAAAATAATGATAATAATAATACAGAAAATTGTACTGCTTCTTTAATATTTAATCAGCCCATCCCCACTTGCATTGATGAACATTTTTAAATGTACATAGGCCTACATACGGTATGTAGGGTAAATTTAGATTTAGGTAAGGGAAAATATTATTATCTCTTACGAAGACCGTTTATAATATACACACCACAATTCTTCAGGCAATGAGATCTACCTGTTTTTAATTTGTAATACATTAAGCAGGGGCGGATCCAGAGATATCCAAAAGGGGGGGGGGCGCCGAAATTTGGGCCGATCGAGACAATGTCCTAGGGGTTCCGGAGGCATGCCAACGCGAAATTTTTGTGTTCTAGACGCCCGAAAATAACATTTGAGGCGTTGTGGGCTATCATTTTTTTCTTTTTCTTTCTTTTTTTATTTTTTTTTAATTTTTTTACCTCCCAAAAGGGGGACGGGGGCCGGGCGCCCCCCTAAATCCTCCCCTGCATTAAGCCTACATTACTACTCATTAAAGTTATCTTGCTCATCATCTGATCCAAATCCAATTTATTTTACATGATTTTACAAATTGGTTGTAGTTTCGCATCTACTGGTCCAATTTTTGGTAGTGATCTTTTATATTAACCCGAATTTAATGACCTATCTACAGGTCTCCCTCTAATTAAGTACCCCTCCAATTAAAGACCACCTCCAATTAAAGACCACTTTTCCATGGTCCCATGGGTCTATGTCTTTTATCTTTATTATTTTGAGAAACCAAAGCTGCTGAAGACCGCGGAAACCCCGGTCCCAATATTGGACTTTAAATTGGAAGAAAACGTGATATTAGAATAATGTTCAATCCGTAATTCTATCGCTGTTAGCTATTTTGTTATCGGTAATTAATTTAACTGGATATAACGTACCGGTAGCTATAATTCGAATTGACATGAATACATGACAATATGCCTATGTTTGTTATAATAATCGAGTTTTATATAAAATTTAATTTTAACTCCTCAACACATTAGGGCTTAAATTGTTGTGCACACGTATCACCGAACTCAAAGCCTACGTACACAAAGATACGAGTCAACAAACCATCCAGGGAACCACCGAATTATATCAAATTCACTGCGTTACTTTTCATAGTATTGCGTTAAATGTTTACTTACGCGTCTGATGCCTGGAGCTGTCCCGCCATCCCCACTTGTGAAACAGACAACTCGTGCCTTTGGCCTACAAAACTTTTCTCAAAGTTCTAGTTCATGAGAAGAGCCTGGGGTTGTGTGACAATCAATTAATCAAGGGGTTATGATAGCCTAACCTAGATGTCTCGTTTAGCCTTACAATTTGTTTTACGCGCTACGTGGAACTTCCAATAGACGGCATAAGTGCTCTCAACGAAGTTTCGTATTTAGAGTAAATTTTTGAGTACCTTCCTCTGTTAATGTTATAAGTATTACACTACTTTAATTGAATGTATACTATTTTGAGACATAAATGAGCTTATATATAGTATAAGTAGGTCGTAATGTATGCCATTAAAAAGATATTTAATGTTTTGTTAAATGAACTGCAAGTCACCAGGGTATTTGGTCTGCACATATATTTTCATAACATTTCATTGCTATTACGTCTTCTATTGTATGACCGGGTTATCATTAATTCGTTTTTAAGGGCCTACATAAAAATGAAACGTTTTATTTTTAACATTGTTTATTATCATTATTGTTGTTATCTTACTTGGTCTATTATCTGTTAAACTCATGCCATCACAGACTGTTAAGTTATCCGCTAAAAATGTACTTCCATTTCAGGCCTAAATTTGACTATACGGCACTAGGCCTATTATTTTGCAAATTATTTTAATTAAAGTTTCCAAAGTTTCTAAATTTAACAACCTAGGCCCATCTATCAAAACGTCTTATTCATTAGTAATAAATACCCGCATATACCGTACCAAAAACACGCAAGTTTACGTACGTTTATGCTGTTTATAATCCAACACCTTAGCTACAAGCAGTGGCGGATTCAAGGTGGGGGAGGGGCAACCGGCCCAGCCCCCCCCCCCTAAATTGTAAATTAAAAAACAAAAATTAAGATATAACAAAAAAATATATTAAAACTTTGAGTTAAAAGTTTGATAGTGCAATTTCCGACCACACTAGAGGAATTTTCTTACCTCAGCCCAAAACCATGGTGGGGCTGAGGTGGTATAAATCCTCCATCTGTGAAAGTACGTCCCCGGACCCCCTCTATTTTGAATTCCTGGATCCGCCACTGAAAAGTATCCAAGGGCGGGGCTACTTAGTGGAAAGGTCCATAGATCACATAGATTTATGGGAAACATGGTTAAAGTACTCCCAATACATTCGAACATACGAATCACTTATTAAAGCTATAATGTAATATTTCAACAGAGCACAGTTGTTGGCAATAATCTAGAGCACAGGTGTT